CATCGACCCATCCTTAAATATTTCCTCTACTATATAGCTTCACAATCTCATTGCTATATTTTTTGTTTACCTTTGTGCCAAATTTTGTCCATGAAGGTTGGCATCCGCCCTTGGGAGGCATAGTTGGGGCTGCTGTGCTGTTTACCGGTGGCGAGTTGGATCTTTTACAGATAAATTGAGATTCTCTTCCACAGTTAGTAGTGCGCCAGTATCCTGTGAAAACAGCAAAGACTTACCGATAAGTATCTACAATTAGGAGCACCAGATTAATCTTTGTTAGATATTTTAATTCTTTGATACTTTGATCATTTTTTTTACATTCTCACTCACCCATATGATAACCCATAGTAACACAGTTCTCATCAAAGGCATTAGAATTAGGCTGATCCTCTTCCCATCTTTGATATGACACAGGGGTACCATCCATCCACCTGGAATAAAAGACCATTTTAAATGCTATAGTCTTTGTTTTCATGTTGTGTTTTTTTGGGCTCAATATTCAAGAGGACTCCGCTGTTACATTATGTGTATTTTATTTATTTTTTGTTTAGTTCCACATCCCCTTTTTAAAATCTTGAATTAGATTAAATTGTAAAATGGATCCTAAAAGACTTGCAACAATACCAATCCTTAAAACGTTTAAACATACATTATATCAGATGTAAGATCAATGCTTACATATGAGCCCATTTTAAATAAAGAAAAAACAGGTGACACCACACAGCAATCACCATCCTATTTGAAACACTTACTGTAAAACAGAAGATGTGTAACACATCGGACAAGATGAAATACATTTTAAAAGGAAGTTTACTTTTAGTGGTTCCATTTTCCCTTACTGCAGGCACCCAGCTCTAACAACTAGGCCACGCTTACGCAAGGAGTTTGAATAACAGACTGACACTTTTGAGACTGGAGTGGTTTCAAAGGTGCAGAAGTACCGTTTTGTGCTTTTCTTTTATGCTTTAATGAACCATTCACCGTAAAATATTACCAATTTTATCAAACAAAGATAACAAACGGAAAAAACAACAACATTTGCTTTAAGATGTTACACGTCTATGTCAGTAACAAAACTTTGGAATAAAAAACTTATATGTTTTTGATATTGTTTTGATAAAGAGTAGATACAAAAGCTAGGTTTTAAGAAATTATATGTTTTTGAATATGGTCAGAATTTTTATTAAGAAAGATACACTTTTTTTTATTTAAGAAATTTTGCAATTTCTTTGTTTAGCTGGTAATCTAAGTATTAATGAACAGCTTATAGTTTTTAAGAAGCTTAGTAGCCCTGAGTCCCTCTGCAGCCATTGTGTATTATCTTTCTATTCTTAAATTATAACTTCATTTTTCAACACTTACCAAAATGACCCATCAAGATCCACTGATAAACCTATATACCATGAGCCATAGCTTCTTGATATCTGTAGAAGAAAAAATAGCAAACAATGTCAATGAACAGGCCTTGAGCACAATTTAAGTTTTGTGCTAAACTGACTATACCTACCTGTTTCCATAAGAAAATATTCTCCTCTTTACTGGTAAATGATACTAAGTCACCGTGTCTCTCCCTGCAAAAAGCACGAGCCTCTTCCATAGATTTAGACATTCTGTTCAGAAAATATTGTTTCCCTTTCCACTGAATCCAACCATCTACAGTGGTGTTAATTTCTGCAAATATTTGAAAAGATGTGACAAAAGAAAGGAGAATTATGTTTGGTTGTTCACATATTTGTGTTAGTATGCATCAAAATAATAATCTTGTATTTTTGGAAAGTTTTTTTTATTAATTGTTCCTTTTATATAGTGGAAAAGTATTAAGAAACATTTTCTCAGGGTTATACAGTAATAACAATTTTGAACTGCTTATTTAGTTATTTTCTCTCTTCTGGTATTGTTTATTTTGGTTGAATAAGCATCACATATTAAAATTATGGAATAAAGAATCACAAAAATATTTAGTCAATCGACCAAACAAAGGCACTTGCATGGATGTATGGAAAAACACACAATCACGGCTGCTTGGCAGTTCCCGCTAACGCCAGTTATCAGGTTGGCTAATCCCTTCTATGGAAATCAGCAATTTATGATAATCAAACTCAGTTCGGCCGCTCTACCCTCATTGCATTTACACCACTTAAGATTATGAAAAAGAACTGTTTCAGCAAAGAAACAATACATAACATAATTTTTTTTGTTTATACATAATTTTTTTACGTGTTAAAGCCATTTTTCACTGCTACAAATAAAAAAAATCTGACAGACCGTTCACATTCCTGTCATTATGTGCACAAGCTTGAAGTGTTGTACACTAACTAGTCAGTTTTTTTCTGTCAAATAGATAAAACAGTTGCAAGTGATCTAAATCAGTTTTTTAATCCTGATTCTCAAAGCACACTTCCCTGCAAGTTGCAGATTTTTTCCAAAGCTTTACCATTGATGGCTGATTAACAGACTCTGCTGAACTTCTAAATTATTCATCTAAATCAGGTGCATTGAACCATGCAAAATCTGCAGGGCAGTGTGCGATGATGAAAAAGGTTAAAGGTGGGGTTTTTAAACTTGTTCTCAGGTCCTGCTTTCCTGCATATTTTAGGTATTTTGCCTGCCTCCACACACCTTATTCAAATAATTAGGTGATTGGAAGCCCCCTACAGCCCATGGTGGCTGATGAGAAAAGAGTGCAATCATTTGATGCAGGTGGGCTGGAGCAGAGTCGCATCTAAAGAATGCAGGACAGTCTCAGGACAAACTTTGAAAACCATTGGGTTAATAAAAATATACTGATCCAGATACTGTTGGGACTTATTTACAGATATGTGTTTTTAGTGTAAATAACATGATTAAACATAACTATAAAAAGGTAAAGTGAAAAGGATGAAGAACCAAGCATGAAGTGTTTTATTTCGAAGAGTCATAACTAAAAGTTGCTTTGAAGCTTAATATCATTCTTACTTCGTACTCTTTGAAACAACTTGTGCTGTTTTTGTTTAATACCTTGGAACAATACATGTTTTTGCAAAAGAAGAAAAACACATTAAAGCATCCATCTCGACTGAAGAGGCTTTAACTCGGACGCTTCTTAAAATATTTTCTTAATTTACATTTAGTTCAACTCTAACTACAGTTTGATACAAGGCCACGTTTAAAACTTTTTTGGTGGTTTCTAACCAAATTTTGTTGGCATTTGATTGTTGTCTGCATTGTAAAAAAAAAAGTGATGAAAAAATAAATAAACTCAACCCATGGTGTTTAAAATGAGTTCACTTTTTATCTAAATGTGATTCAAGTATTCAGCACTTTATTTTGAAGTTGAAAATCTATCAAATCTTACCTTCTGCTGTATTGTTGGGAGGCGGCTTTGGAACTACTCCTGTAAATGAACAAAGGATTTTTTGATTTTTCCTTTTTCCTTTTTTTTTTTAACACAGAAAAAATGACAGAAATGAACCACTGTCTTCGTTTTAAATTTGTACGTTGATCTATCAAGTCATCATCATTGTTTTTTTTTTTCAGGAGCAGCATAGAGGTTTACTAAATAAACAAATAATTACATCATGGCAAAAACATTGCAGGTGACATTAAAATTACAAATATTTAAAATGTTAAAATGAAACATAAATTACATCTTTCTCTGTATTTTAAAGCAGGTCTCTAATTTCAAAAAATGTTTGCTTCTCTCTTATAAACAAGAAGCAAATTCCACATATGGAGGAGACATTTGATCTAGATCTGCAAAATCCAGTGCACTACTGTTGTACATATAAACAGTTGCGCAGAGTGACATAGTTTCTAAAACCTCATTGAATCTTCATCAATAACCTTTACTATCGTTATATGTCTGTTTCTAAAGAAAGAAAAAAACAAGATTGCAGAGAAATTTAAACATGAAATCAATCATTAAACAGGCCAAAATTTTAAGGTAGCCAGACTTTCACTCAGTTCCTTTCTGAAGACGTTATCACATCTACTGTATCCAGGAGTCTTTGTTAATTCTGTCATCTGGCACCAGACAAAAGACCAAATTTCCTTCCAATTTAAGCATGTTTTGTGGTTTCCATGACCTGAATGACTAAGAGCTTACAGTGTCATATGAAATAATGTATTTTTAAACAAAACTATACATGTTGTTGATTTTTTTGTTTTTACCTGCTCGAATCTGACACAACCAGTCATTGTAACTTTCACAGTTCAGATCATTCCAGGAGCCGTTCTCGTCCCAGTTGTGTAACACAAACTCGGTACATGATTCATCATTGTTAAAATTGTTCGGTTCCCCTTCCTGCCAGTGCTGGAAGTTTAACTGTGAAGAAAAAACATAGCAAAATTACACACTTCTACCCTGTATGTATTTTTTTATATCCTACACGGTGGTAAAAAAAAAAAAAAAGAAAGAAATACTAACCGCACTCCCGTCCGTCCATACAAAACCAGTATTGGGGTCTTCAACATGGAGTCCAATCCAAGCTTTACCCCCTCTACTAATGGAACACATTTAAAGCTGGTTATACGTATTTGATTATATACAAATCGATTATCTCATCAAATTAGATAAAACTTTTAATAAACCAAATCATTCAAATTAATACATTTTTAACTTCCAGATTGGATATTTCTGGGAAACAATATTAAGACATTACCTTGAGTATGTTATTTACATATTACAAAAGATTTAAGAATTTAGTGTTTGTATAAAACTAATAATGTCCTATTTTCACACAATCTAAATTTAATCATATTTTAGTGAAAAAGTTGAATGTTCTAACAGAAAACAAAGTCTCCAAACGTTTGGTGAATACCTGAGCAGCGTTCAGCAGTAAGAAAAAAATCAGCGGATACCTTGATAACACCATTTCAGAGGCACTGTGGATGCTCAACAGATCTCCTCCTATGGCTTTGCAGTAATCTCTGGCTTCAAACCAAGTTTTCTCTTCTGATCGTGGCCCTGTAAAAAACTTAAGGACAAGAAAAAAGAACCTAGAATAAAAATGCTTGATATAAAACAATTTAATAGCAACATTTGTAGAAAGATATATTGTGAGATGTAGTATATACACCATCTATGAATAACGCAGCTTTGTCGACTCATTATGTTCTCGGTCTTGGATTTGTTATATTTATGTGGTTAAAAGTCTAGCTTTTTTAGAGGGTAAAACCTTTTTCTTGGGATTTACGAAGCTGTGTTTTCACCTTTGCGCACACATTTCTTGTTCCTACTCGATTCCAACCTTCTGGACACTGGGGAGGAGTTTGGGTTGGGGGTGGAACTGTTGCCACCACCCCCTCTGCCATGTGTTTGCAGATGTATTTCTCCTTATTGGTGCAGGGCAGTACATCCCAGAGTCCAGCTGAAAACCCAGTAGCAATGGCAACACAACCTTGGTTGTTACCTAAGTAATTTGTAAAAGAAGAGCGATAGTTTTGTTTGCATGTGTTTGTTTGGTTTTTTGACACATACAAGAATAAGTAAAATAATCACATTTTTATAGATATTCATACCTGGCATTCCAGCATTCCAGTGTGTGAATCTCACAAACTCTGTATTGGTCCAGGTGAACACTTCAATGTTATTCTGATTTGAGAGACCGAGCCAGAAGTGTTTCTCTGGTCTCAATCCCACCAGACTCACAAGGAAGGCATTATCCACCCTGTAGACATTTAGAGAAATTAATAAATCCGAAACTATTCATGGACTGAAGTAGCTGTTCCTAAAGTGGTGAATGTGACCCGGCTGTGAGTCATATGATTTTATGTAGTAATCCAGAAAGAGCTATAATCAATTATTGAAGATTAGTGTTTAATTAAAAACAAAACTTGAACACTATTTTCTAGAGATGTTGCAAAATCAGTCTGTTCTCTGCAGTCTTTTGTACAAACTCCCACCATTTTTCATCTATACACCTGTCATCCATGAGCCCGCATTTTGCAAACAAAGAAAAGGCGGATATAGATAATGAACTTACAGTATTCTTTGACCTTAAAGTTGTATAAACGTTTAATTCCTTCTCCTACTGTTAGATTTAAAACTACTACCTGTTTAATTAACTTTCCAGCACTTCGTTTTGATCCTTTATGTGCAGTAGTCCATACAAGTAAAGAAAATTTGAATTTTTTAAAAATCTGGTAAAGTTTTACACCTTGAAGAAAACGGAAAGTTGGTAAAAGCTATGAAAAGAATAATTAATGTAATTTCAGAATTGTCAGAAAACCATTTTAAGAAGTGTCAACATTGTTTTGGGGGATTGAGCTTATCTTTTTATTCCTCTAAGCTTCAGCTACCAATAGTAGAGGTTGCAAGTATGAACTTTTAAGTTCTGGGGTCAGATATTAAAATGTTTGAGAATTACTGACCTGCAGTCTGCTGCTGAAATTCCTATAGGTTAGTAATTAAAGATTCTTTAAACATTTACCCATTAGAGACATCAGCTAAGTAAGAGCCAGAAGTCTTGCAGTGTTCATTAGCTTCATCAAAGCTCTTTGTTTCAGTTCCAACAAAGTAGCAAAACGAACCATGTCTTCTCCAGCCCTAACAAATAAAGAGAACATCTATTAAAACCAAAGATCTACATTCCCAGAAAAAAAAAATCTGTTTAGCTAAGAAATAACTGTTGTAAATTGTATTTTTATACAAAGGAAAAAAAAATATGGAAAGCAGAATTCAAAATTCACTAACAGCTTTGCAGCCAATGTCCAAATCTGGTTCATTTCCAGTTCTTTCAATGGCGCTTTGCTTCATGCAAATAAACCCCTTCTTTTCATCGCAGGAACGGTCTGCCCAGTTTCCATTCTGCAAAAAAACAAAAACATATATAATAAAAAGTATTTTATAGTATTTTCATTATGAATGGTATTGAGAAACATTTATTTATATCATTTATTCTTTTTGGTTGTATTTGCATAATCTAACAGCAGATAAAAAAAATGTAAGTAAACTGGAACTTGTTTGGTTGTCTCCATTTAGGTGATAAAATATCTATTGGATATTAGTCTAAAATGGTAAAATGTTAAAATAATTTATGTTTCAATCACTACTGATAGTTTTTGTTAATCAGGATCCCACTTTAACCATTAAAAATTTCAACTAGTGATATTTGAGCACCATAGTTAATGGATTTGATTATTCAGCAAACATACCTGCATAACAGAAGAAATATTCCAGTATGCAGTAGTTATGTATGGATGGCAAAAAGGGAGGTCACAAGAAATAAAATGAAATTATGCTGGCCAGGAAAAGTTATAAGATTTCACAACTGGATAAACTAATCCAAAGCCTTAATATTTCAAGAGATTAAATAGACTTAATGTTTCCTATATACAGTTATAAAGGTATTACACGGGTATGTAAAGGCATCACTCCTAACCAATTGATTAGTTATATGAATAGATTCTACAGAGATTGGTTTAATTATAAACATTGTATGCACAGGTATACAAAAAATAACATTTGTGTATGTGTATAGAGAACAAAAACAGATGTGCCACACCTCTCCTGTGATAAGAACACAATCTTCTGATTCAATGGACACAGTTGGTTCCCCAAATCCCCAGCTGGTGAAGGTGACAGTTGTGTAATCACTCCAGTCAAACAGCCCTTCAGTGGTTCTGTCATTCAGTCCTATCCAAAGCTCATCATTGGACGCTGTGGGAATAAAAATAAAAATCATGTAATCATTCATTTCAAAGTAAATGGGGAAAAACAAATGTTTCAATATTATCTTTTGTATATGCTCATGTTTTATCCTCATAAGTTTCAGTGTCTAAAATAAGATCAAGTCTGAATGAAGCATATAACTTATGTCTTATCCATTTTAAATAACTGCCTGTTAGATTGAAACGCGATTTTCTTTCCTACTAGAGTTAATTGAAGTGAATTACACACAGAATTCACTTCCAATTGAGAACAATTATAAAATGCTTACATTGGGTGTTGGTTTATAAGTGATCCAAGGAGAAAGTCAGAAGGCCATATCACTTGACTTCCACCCCCCCTTTAGTGGATTAATCTATATGTATAACACAACTCTTTACTCTATGAACTATAACTCAAGCTGGAGACTTTGCTGTTCTTATTTTTATCTTAAGAAACCATTTATTTCCTTGCTTCAACTTTTGACTCTGCAACAGTGATGAAGGTACTTGTGGTGTGAAGGGGCAGTGCTCATTTGGTAGAAATTTTCAGAATATCCCAGAAAATCTATTACAGGCTGGCTAATATGGCAATTTGTGTATGAGATAATCTTTAATAAATGGGACCGAGCAATAATGCTAGAAAGCGGTATCATAATATCTTTTACCATATCCAAGCTGTGAGATGACAAAGCTTTGATCCTCCACATTGCGAATATTCACAAGGTCACCCCCTTCTTTGCGACACTCTCTCTGAGCATCAGGCCATGACATTGTATTACGCTGAAGGTGAAAACAGTGTCCATTGTAGGGGATCCAAGGGTTTGAGCAAAATCCTTCCTCAACTGGTAAAAAAAAAGAACAACAATAAGAAAATTGAATTATATCAAACATTAGAATTGTCCTCTAAAGTTAAATAACAGGAAGCAAGCCAGTATAAAAAGTCAAAGTGTGGAAAAAAGTTTCAATACTTTGCGGAGGAGCTGGTGGCGATCCGCCTTTGTAGCAGATGTAGCCAAGCTTCTTTGTGCAAGAGGAACTTTGCCAAGAGAATTGGCCTGCAGTGTCAAGAACCGCACAGTTGTGTCCCGGATTTGGAAGTGGGTGTCCTGAAACAAGATGATCTGATTTACACAAGGGGCAATTTCATCAGCAGAAAAAATGTCACCCCATAATAACTTGTAGGTTTCAAAAAAGTGCGGCTGAGTTTATTGAAGCAGGCTTCTTTAATTCTATACCCCATAATAAACAGATACTAAAGTAAAAGAAAAGTAGGATAAATCCTTAAAGAGGTATAGACTTAACCGAATTTCAGATCCATCCCAGTTTTTAGTTGATCATTACTATATAAAACAAATATCTTTAACTAAATTATATCATTTACACTATAAGGTGACATTTTGCAACAGATGTCACCAAAAGGTAATTTAAAACTGTGATTCCCCTAGTGGCAAATATGGAAAATATTTTATTTCTCTGGTAATAAAAAAAATAGGGCTGGGTTCTGTTTTTCTTTGTGAGGACCCAACTAAAAAATGAAACAAGCTTTTTCAACCAAAGAGTATATTTTTCTTATATTGTGAGTCTACCTTCAGCTTTGACACAAATCCAAACCAAACAGAAAGACAGACTGGATGTAGAGAACAGCCTGGGATCAGCTGTTTTTCCACACCTCATTAAAGCATGAATGATGAAAACAAAGTTTAAAAAAATGGAGTAAGTCTGAATATATGGGGAATATAAGTCAAAAAAGGTTGAGAAACACTGCTTTAAAAGACAAAAGGGTCAATTTATATACAAAATACATATATAGGTAGTACTTCAGTGCAATCATAAAAGCAGATTCAAATTATACAACACATTTTAATTCAGTCATAACTGTGATCACATTTATTTCATTATGACAACTCTTTTCAAAGAACTCCATCCTGAGAGCATCTATTCTACTATAAAAAATGTGGCAACAGGGGGCTATTGATGGCTTCATGTTGACTTTATAAATTTAAGGAGAATTATGTCTTCTTGCTGGTGTCCATTTTTGGACAAATGACTTGTACAGTACCTCATTGCTAAAGTCAGCTGGTAGATAATGAAACTCAATAATCTCCCTCACCCCTGAATCAGCCTAATGGATTTTCATACCATTTATAGAACTTGCAAGGACACAGGAACATATTACCTCCTAGGTCTACGTTCAAAGGACAGTCTCTCACAAAATAAAAAACTTTTATTCATCTCATTGCAGACTTTAAGCAGACTCAATAGTAACATGATTGGTTGGATTGATGTAGTCAACAGTATCAGCTAATATAGGATATTAGTAGGAAACTTTATCGATGGACATATTTCCTTAATTTTTAGGAATCCTTTAAAGCTAAATCAGCTAATATATAGTGTCCGTCTAACAGCTGAGGGTTTATTTTTCCACAAACTCATATCAATGTGACACCTGTCTAAAACAGGTTAGGATGCCATTAATTTCCTCCCTAAAAATGACCTTAGTTATACTTTAGAGAGGAAATATCACATAACTTACCGCTATCCCACTTTAGATAGCGAAAAGGCTTTCCATCAGTCCACTGCCAGCCATGTTCTGAGTCCAAAACCAGCCCGATCCAGACCTTGTTCCTTCCTGTTGCTGTTAATGCTGAGTATTTGCATGTGTTTTTGTAACAAAGGAAAGGGGAAAAGGGAAAGCATAGTGAAGACTTTGTTCCTCTTTTGCATTAGTTAAAAACAAAGCTGCACCACAATAGTATTTTCCATGTAAAATGTTTTGCTGCAGTTAACTAAAACCTGTGCTTAAAGGAATTTAATACTAGAGTGTTGATGGTGCTAAAATATTGTCAAAACCAATAAACTGCCTTGAGATGTTTTTAACCTATAACTGCAATAAACAGGTTGCTTAATTATTGTTAGAAGTAAGGAACACCCCTCTGCAGTGTCTTCATTTTTGTTGTCAGTCAAGTTTGCTGCCAGAATTTTTTTTCTATTAATTTAATCAGGTCAACTGTGCACACATATCTTATTTTACCATGTAAGGAACAAATCGTCCTCTGCAACCACAAGCAGACTGTTTATGTAAGCTCTATGCTTTCCAAAAAAATCTAAAAATAAATTATGACATAGGCTGTTTAAAGTTTAACACCAGATATTAAGTTATTCTAATTTTCATTTAAGCCTGGTCATGTTTTGAGCTGGTCCTTAGTAATCATCATGTAGTCAAATATCAGTTGAAAAGCAAAAAAAAAAATAAATAAATCAATGTCATTTTTAAAACTCTTGCATTGAGATTGCATTGACATTATTATATGTTGTGATTTTCTATTAGGCAATATAAATAAAAGCATAAAGATAATGGATAGAGTATTAAGAGATTGCACCTACCTGTGATAAAGGCTTTCTCGATGGGATCAACTATACTAACCAGAGATGCAGCCTGCTGTTTGCAACTGGTGTCAGCCTGTGCCCAGGTCAGAGCTGACTGCTGGTTCACCTGGTAATATGCTCCGGTAACAATATTCTTGCTCCAGTGCTCTGTGGCTGTGCAGACATAGAGATAGAGAAATTGCTTTTCATGATTTAAAACCATGTGAAAAAACATAAATTATATAACATATGCAATATATGTTTTTTATGTCATTTTATAAAAGCAGTGTATTTTCAGTACTTCAGGGGCAGATGGGCTGCATATTTAAAATATTTCTTTGATTCAGAATAATTTCAAATTATTATTCCCAGGCCTCTGCAGAACTTGTGGAGATCTGATTCTAAATATATGAACACTGTCAAACTTTGTTGAAAATCATTGTATTCACTATAAAGAAGCCTTTAACTAAATCTACAGACATATAAAGCTGACAAACTTACAAGAAGATGGGCAGTAACCCCACTTTTCATTTTGAAATTTGGTTTCAGTTGCACACCAACTGCGCTTCACTTTGGAGTCATACGTTGTGCAGTCTCCATACCACCGGTCTTTGTACAAGAAGGGAAACATGCAGATTTTTCCAAAAGCATTCCCTCCAATGGTGTACAACTCTGAAGGGAAAATGAGCTTATTATTTAAAATCAGACAAGATAAAACTTTTTGACAATTTTTAAATTGGACAAAAATATCTGAATGTTTTATAACTGTTTTAATACAGGACTTCAGTTTTTTGTGTTTTTATTTCACTTATCCACTAAGTCACAAAAACAAGTGCTTTGTACCTCTGTGTGTTCTTGTGCAGGCACCACTAGATGTTCCCGTAATGGTGAGGTGGTTGTATGGCCCAACAGTTTTGGACAGAACAATCGACTCATCAGGTTTGACCTGAATATAGAATGGCTTGTCTTTGAGAGCAAGCAGCGTTCCATTCCTGCACTCCCACATCTGCAGGGTGTTCTTTTCATCACAGTCATGCTGGCTAACCTCGCTCCCCACACTTTCACCTTCAGCTCCGAGGCACTTTTTGGTCAGAACCACTAAAAGTCGGTTACCAGTCGTCCAGCGAACTTCCGTGCAGCGGGTGCCTCTTTTTACCAAGCAAAACCCAGAAGCTTTGTTCATCAGAAGAAATGGAGAGTCTGCAATGAAAAGCATTCAAAACTAATTTTAGGACTTAAAATATTTTTTCATTCAGTGTTAAAAGCACTGCAGAATATAGGTCAATAATATTAGGCATCAATATTCTGGAGATGGCTGCACTGTCTGTTAGGCAAGTAGAAAACAATGCCATGCATTAGTAAGAAAGATAGAAAGATAAAATGGCCAGAAAAATAACTTTACTTGCTCTTTTTTATGAATTTGTAAAATTAATATGTATGAATACTAAAACAATACAAACATGATTCTAAAATCAAATCTGAATATCACGACTACTCATATTCAGCACCAGTATAATAGCACCAAGTATTTCACATCTCTATACAATGCATAAAAAATGTCATCAACAAAACACCACAAAATAAATAGCTAACAAAAAAAGAATACACTATACAATACCATTTGTTAATGTAGATCCCTGAGATGGCAGCATAAGGAACACAAGGGTTACAAGAGCAATCCTGTGAGGTGACATTCTTCTAAGTCTCAAAGCAGCAGACATCATCCCGCATTGCAAGCAGAAGACATATGAGGGAGGACATTGAAAGGAGGGAATCTTAATAGCCCACCAGCATGTTCTCCTTTTTTTCCCTTTTTCATTGAGAAACCCTCATGCTTCAGATTGGCACATTTCAACATTCTGCTACTGGCTAAAAAAAGCAGGAAGTTAAGGCAGCATGCACATAAACACGTACACAAACATGCATTTTCCTCTCACGGATGTAACACTCCAGAAAGGGCCAAAATTGGCCCTATTCATTATGGGGAAAAACAGTTTATCAGAGTAAGCATTATTCATAAAGCAAGCAGGAATAACATATGTGTCTAGTACAAACATAAATTATTAAGACTTCAGAGGCACATGACAATCATCATCTAATCAGACAAAACTCACTACTACACTACTTTGACAAAAAAAAATTGCAACTCCAACTCAAAAACCTCCTAACAACTGCTACTAAAAAGACAGCTGTGTGTGCATGAGAAACACATGGAAATAGATTAATTTTGTGTGCTTAGAAGAAAAAAAACATTTTAAATGGCATAAGAAATGCAATGCTGGAAGAAATTGCAATGCAAATAGTAATATGTAGTTTTTACAAACCATGGCTGTGTATTCATTATCAATGATTGACAGATAAAACCCTGAACAATCATTAAATTGGAAATATATTTAAAAAGGGCTGCTCAGTGTCGCAGTGGGTAGATCTGCTGCCTTGCAGCAAGAAGGTTCTGGGTTTGATTCCTGACCATCTGCATGGTGAGAACCTAATTTGCAGTGAAACACTGTATAAATTAAAAAGGTTTATTTTGAATGTTTATGATATTATCAGCGATGCAGGCAGGCAGAATGGTAGCAGGTTTGAGGAGACAGATGCGTGCAAAATCAGTTGGTGACAAGCTGATTAAGGCTTTAATCAAGTGGATAGTGGGCTTCAACCTGACAGATTGTGCATAAGAGGCTGGTAGCAGGCTTTGAGCAGACTGGAGGCAAACTGAACAAACTGGCAACAGGCAGAAACAGTCAAGCATGAAACCAGAGCGAGATAGTGATTAGAAGTGAGAGCAGGCTATATACAGGAGTTGACACTGGAATAATCCTCATAAGGACAAGGAGGAGACAGTCTGGTGAAGCCTGGCAAAGAAAGGGAGGCTAAGACAAACATGTTAGAAGCTGTAAAGAAAGACTTTATTTAGGTTAGAGGCAGGTGTGTCAGCTAACTCTAGCCTTGCATAAAAATACAAAAAAATATTTGCAACCTGGTATGAGAATCTGAACAAAAAATTGTTGTTAAATATATATATTTTTTCCTTCTCTGCCTCTTGGGAGATTACTGATTGTGATAGATGGAAGCTTTCCCTTTTTTACATGTAAAAGCAAACTGTGCAGCATGTAACAAATGTAAAGAAGTATATAGTCTTTGAGATTTCATGAGCCAATCCCTGTTATATGTTGCTGATAAAAACAACTTATCTTGAGTGAAGCAACACTATATCCTGTGCTGGAGTGTAGAAATTTCAATGTCCTACTCTTCCTTTACATTTGTCATAGCATTTAGTACTTTCACTTCCTCTTTGGTTGTTTTCCTTTATTCTGAGCTGGAGCATTTTTGCAGAAATATTAACTTTTGGAGCTACAGTGCTTATGCCTTGAGTCTGCTGCAGCAGTAGTGAGGCAATAATTAACAGGGTAAAGAGGCTTAACTGGAATTTATTTAATTAAGCAAAGAGATAAAAACTTGTAACATCTTTACAATCAACTTTGTTTGCATTTTCTCTTTACTTGAACACATATTTTTCAAACTAACTATCCTCAAAAAGGCTTTTCATATCTCCAGTTCTATCCCTAAGGTTGTCTGGGGAAAAATAAAATCTCTGTGCAGGCATATATGTATGCATTGATAGATACACAGACAGACAGATGGGAGTACTACATTGTTATGTTATAATACATATATTATAATGTTTATATTCATAATGAATACCATAGAAGTCTGAGTTAGTTTTTATCCAAAATATTGATACTTTATTCATGTTTTTTTTTCAAGCTCAAGGTTTGCTTGCCTCTCTAATAAATACATATATATGCATATTGGTGACTGAGGTAACGGGTTACTGAGTGCATGCTGTACTTTAAGCTGTCATTTGGAGATAAGAACTCTCCGCCTTTGCTAATCTAGTGTAATAAACATGCAATGAGGTTTATACAAGCACAAAGTGTTAGTTGGAAGCATAGCTAGATATCATGTGTTAGGAACGTGTGTTTCTGTTGGAATCCCTGCCTCACCTCATCTGGACATGAAGCAGATATTTGCACTACTGTCAGGTAAGAGTCTTAAAAGTTCTGTTCTACAATGGAATTTGAACAACTGTGTATCTTTCTGTACATCCTTTACAATTGGGCTGTATTTGCAGTACTGTGGACCATCGTCTCCTGCTCTTCCTGTGGGAATTTCAGCTGTACATCTGGACAATGTGTTCCTGGTTGTGATCTTGGGGTGAACTCCAAATATGACTTGGATAAGAGGTTTTCTGGTAGGACATATTCATCAAATTTAATTTTCTTGTCACGACTCAGAGCAGAGGACCCAGTATTCAGGCAAGACAGGAGGTGGGATTATTCAAAAAGTGTTTATTTAAACAATTGGCTGCAGATATGCAGTGGCTGGGGGGTCAGGGGCAGGAAATTCTGGCAAGAGGAAAACTCAGGTTAGTGACCACGTAAATCTAAGTGAGGAACATTATGAATGTGAGCCACTAACCTGGTTTACAAGTGCAGTCTGTGCCCAGAGAGCAAGGTAGGATCCAGCCATTGGGCTGGCAGCAAGATGCAGCGGGGTGCCGCTCAGAGTGTCCCAGAGAACATGCAGGAGTCCAAAGACAGGTAAACAGAACAGGAACCGGCAGGCTCATTGGTCCAGAAGTCTGAAGCCAGGTTGAGCAAACCGTTCATACGGCAAAAGGCAAGCTTAGTGGTTGAGAGGCAAAATAGGTCAGGATTAGGTAAACAGGAACACTAAGGTAATGCTAAAACCCTCTCACCACTGAGATCAGATGTAAACAGGCAGGCTTAGTGGTTGAAAGGCAGAACAGGTCAGGATCAGTAAATCCGAAGCATCAAGGAACTCTAAAAACACTCTCACCACTGGCTAGAGAGAACAAGATAATCTCACTGTGATGACAGGATGAGGGCACCTTAAATAGAGGCAAGGAGCAGGTGGAGATGAGCAGTGATGAGAAACTTGGCAGAGTTACACAGGTGAATGGAATCAGTAATTAATCCAGTCATCAGTGTCAAGATAATGACATTCCTGTCCACTTTGTGTTATTGAACTAAGCAGTTGAAGCCTGATATCGACATACCTGTGAATCATATAAAAAGGTGCATCATTATTTCCTGCATTTAATGAGAATTTTTTTTATTTTTTTTAGGGTAGCATTAGCTATTTTCTTCTGTCTGCTTAAATGCTACAATGAAAAGAGGGCAATTTTTGTTACTAAACTTAATTTATGTAACTCTCTTTAAAATGAGAAGTTTAGAAATACCATGATTTGCAATGTCTTAGAATAAGGCAGGACTCTACCAGTACCATTATAGCATCGGCTTAGCAGGTTAGCTAAAAGGTTACAAGTAAATCACAGGTTTGTTTTTTTGTGTGTCTTTTAGGAGTAGTCATCTTTATTCTGGTAGAGAAACTGAAGCTAGCTTCACAAAAACTTAAGCTATTTATCATGTTTAGTTTCAGCATGTTCACCTATAAATATTACTCTTAAGGCTCATGCAACTTTGAGAATAACTCTTGTGGTTGGAAAAACGCCAGTGAGTCATCCTATAGCTGGAGACGACAGATGGCCAACATTACTTCTATACCAGGACAGGACCACACCATAGGGACCCCCTGGGGTAATCATTATTGCTACTACATTATTGCTTGGTCATAATGTCGTTGTGTTAAACCATGTCAAGGACCATATTTTTTTGTTGTTGTTGTTTTTGCGTACTGTCCAGGATATATAATGCATGTAGATGGGAAGGAAGATGGTTTCTTCAGAGAAGCCAATTTGGAGTATCCTGTGAACCAACTGGCTGCTATAGGATGCCAAATCAGGTATGGATAACAAATATGCCAGATAAATCTTTACCACAAGGTTTAAGATTTTTATCTGACCAGAATGTGCCAAAAATCATCTCTCTATATTTCAGGTTTTGGTACCACATTTTTGAAAACAGTTCATCATTAGTATCATCTTATCTTAAAGTAATAATGATCAGAGGCACAGTGGAGACTGAGTTGCTAAAGATTTCCAAAAGTAAGACAAATGGTTGGGAGAATGCAACTGCCTTCATTGGTAATCAACCACCTGGGTACAAGGTTGGTAAAGCATCTTATTTATGTAGTGGATTTAGAAAAATACTGCATTTACAACCATATTTAATCTTTATCTATACTGACTAGCGTGATGGTCTGTATCTGGCAATCTGTGCTAATTAGTGCTTAAAACTAATTTCCTCAGCAAAACTTAATAAATCACTTTATATTCTTTCCTTGTTGTTTGCAAAAAAAATATATATATATTCAAATAAACAATGAGTCCTGAATCATTTTCAAATTCTTTCCAAAAAACATTTCCTTGTTTTGGCATTCTATACTACTTTAAAGGGGTCATAGAATGATTATATAGGGTATTTGGTGCTGGTCCTTAAAGGGATAGTTCGGGATTTTTGACATGAATCTGTATGGCATCCCCATCACCAGTGTCATGCAATCACACTGACTTACCCCTGGCAGCATCCTGTGAGCAGAGTTCTCGTCCAGCTTTGGTCAAGCCGAAAGTAGTCCGGCAGGTTTGCTAGACCCAGCGAAATAAAAAGTTTCTCTTCCCAAAACATTATGTGTTCAAAAGAGTGATATTTTTGCATCCCAAAAACATTGTAATGGAAAAAGTCACACGTCGTTATCACTTGGTCCTATTTTCTCTCTGTTCGTATCAGTGCGCGCCCGTTTTATGGTAGAAGTTTGGAATTGTGAGATTTGCAGAGAAAGGGGGTGTC